GCTAAAATAGTTCAAGAAATGCTACTTAATCAACCACTCAAAGGTCTTAAAGGGACAGTTTACTCAAAAAATTAAAATATACTCACTATTTACTCCCACTCAATTGGTTCATAACCTTTAGGAGTTTTTTTCTTTTGAACACAAAAGAAGATATTTTGACATTACCTTCAGTTGTAAGAAAAGCAAATACTGTGAAAGTCATCTTATTTTGTGTTTAACAGAAATATGCAGGAATGCAGCATTCCCCTCTGCTGTAAGTAGGAGTGTTGCTGTTTTAGATGTTGAAAAGTGCAAAACTGTTATATGTATTACAAAAGTGATGCAAACTTCAGATGTGAAAAGTATTGAAATGATTGCTTTTAAATTTTATTTGATTAAATTGCATTTTGTGTTTAGATGTTATATCATTATTTTATTGTGATTTCATTGTTAAGGGTCATTGTTAATTGCTTTAACAAACATTTAGTGAGAGAAGGGATCATTTACTTTTGTGTTACAGATCAGTAGAGAGCATTGTTTGTCATGCTATGAGGTAACATGACAGTGCTACTTTGAAAATGTGAAATTATTAATGTTTGATGCTGAATTATGTTTCTTTGTTGATATTGTAGTTATTTGTTAAGCACTGCATTTCAGTAGGTTTTGGTCAGATTTTAAGTCATTGGATGTCAAACTCATGGAGCAATTACACAAAAAATGCAAAAAAATTGATTGTGTTAAGCATTTATTTAATATACCTGAGTACATAAAGGGTGACTAAATAAACGTTTTGTCTAGTCTATTTGAAAGAAAACTGATCACATCAGGTGCGTTTTTAGTCACAATTTCAGGGAAGAAAAAGGGAGCGCGCACGTTTTTTAAACAGTCACACGCATCACAACAGCCTTTGGCGCCCCTGGCCTTCTTCTTGACATCAGCGGACACTGACAGACGCAGGATTATTGTCGGCATGACACAGACCAACAATTTACTCGCATTACTGAGCAAACTCGGAGCACTTCTTATCTACTTTAGCTCTTTGCCACTGGTCCTTTACCACTGTTGTTTTCACATCAGGAAATGTACATATGAACAGAGTGCTCACTGAGAGGCGGGATCACGTTAGCTGTAATGAAGCGATATAGGAGAATCCTTACTTTTATATGGATTACATATAACGAGATGATTTGTTTTCGACTTGAATTGGTTATTGGACAAGTAGACATATCAAGCTTTATATCGATATCATAAATCATCATCTTTGTTGAGTATTTGCTGAGTTTCCTTTCATTTTAGTGACGTGTTTTTCTGACCACAGTCTGCACGCGTCTTCAGACACTTGTAATAACAATGTCTCGTGGGCATGGTCGCATTTAAACTAATGAGATCAGACTGATAAACTAGACATAGCGTTGGTTTCATACTGATTACTTTTTCAAGCAATGTTTGATCACACACACACACGGTTAACGTTAGGCCAATTAATAATCTGTTCAAAGAATGTTTCAAGAGTTCACACTTAGCTGATGATTGATTATAAGCAAGTTTGGCATGCTGTCACGGGAGAGAGCCACGGAAGCACGGGAAGAACATGCAAACTACACACAGAAACGACCACCGGCCTGTTAAGGAACTAGAACCGGTGACGTTCTTGCTGTGAGGCGACAGTGCTAGTCACTGGGCCACCGTGCTGCCCTATGGAGGGAAAGGTGAAAAGGTAGGGGTGGAAGGGGGGATTCTTCAAATTGAAGATGACTAGTGAAAAAACCCTGGCTCTTTATAGTGGGTAAGGAATGGCCTGATTGGTGGATCATGCATGCTAATGCAGAACCAGCCGTGTTCAATCATAATCATGTACTCCTCTCGAAATTAGTTTATAAAATAAACTTCACTTAAAGCGAAGTAACCAGTTCGGTAGCTCTTGAAAACAGCAAGACTGTCTGGTGCATGAGCATAACATTTTGTCTAGTCTATTTGAAAGAGAACTGATCACATCAGTTGCTTTTCCAGGCACAATTTCAGGCAAGAAAAAGGGAGTGCGCACGCGTTTTAAACAGTCACGCGCATCACAACAGCCTTTGGCGCAAGTTATCATCTCTCATTCTGCATTCACAGAAATGATTTAAAGAATAAACTTACAAAGGACACTTAGAAATGTAGCCTTGCAGGCATGTACCTTGTGATAGGGAGGAGCGCAGGAAAAAAGGTAGTATTTCACTGTAACCCCTGGCCTTCTTCTTGACATAAGCGGAGACTGACAGACGCAGGATTATTGTCGGCATGACACAGACCAACATTACTCGCATTAATGATCAAACTCGGAGCACTTCTTATCTACTTTAGCTCTTTGCCACTGGTCCTTTACCACTGTTGTTTTCACATCTGGAAATGTACATATGAACAGTGTGCTGACTGAGAGGCGGGATCACGTTAGCTGTAATGAGGCGATATAGAAGAATCCTTTCTTTTATACGGATTACATATAACGAGATCATTTGTTTTCGACTTCAATTGGTTATTGCACAAGTAGACATATCAAGCTTTATACAGATGTCATAAACCATCATCTATGTTGAGTATTTGCTGAGTTTCCTTTCATTTTAGTGACGTGTTTTTCTGACCACAGTCTGCAGTCTTCAGATGCTTGTAATAACAATGTCTCGTGGGCGTGGTCACATTAAAACTATAACATCAGACTGATAAACTAGACATAGCGTTGGTTTCATACTGATTACTTTATCAAGCAATGTTTGTTTTCAACATGCCTAGCTGCATTTAAAAATAGACACTCAAGCTTTCTAGGAATACATGTTTCGTGTAGGTGTGTTTTGTAGGTGGAGTTTTAGCGCATTTTACTGATGCGCTTCTAAAAGCAGTTCAGAGAGAAAGGAGAGAATACCTACTCTGTTAGTTTTCCTTGTTTTGCAAAAGCACACAAGATTGTTGTTGTGAGTGTACACAACAAAAAGTAGACACCTAACAGATTCGATTGATGTATTGATCTTATCTGTACAATCAAAACTGAAAGTCTAATTTAAGTTTATTTCAGCATATTTTATACCTTCCAATCCATCGCAGCATGAATCAACGTTTGTCCTTTCCTCATCATCCTTCTCATTATTTTTATTAAATTTAATTTTTGAAAATTTAACTTTAAATTGATTTTAACTAATGAATAAGTTAAAACATTGCTTAATATAAGAATGTTTAGTGCATTTGCCTGTCTCTTTAAAACTATTGTCAGGAGCCCCCAAACTAGGTCAGAAGTCACGGAGACCTTCAGTGGAACTGAGGGCTGAGGACTGGGAGCAACTGTTTCTTCTGTTATTTCTATGAGTTAATACTAAAATGGTCTAAAGTGATTTAGCTATTTTTACGGTTAATTCTTTTAAAGTGATTCTACTTTTTTTAAGATAGACTCTGTGTAGTATGGATTTAACTGCCTGAATGTACATAATACCGGTTTATAACCAGTTTTGAGAAAAAAAAAAAAAAAAACGGTTGAGAGTACACAGCCTTGGGGAAGAAACAGATTGTACTCTTAAGTGTGTGTGTTCTATTTGATTGTGGATCCTTTTCACAAGTCTGGAGTCAGCTCTAAATAGTCTAGGGGATGTCTGATGTTTATATGCATAAGATATTGTTCAGAATTGTGAGCACACATCCCACGTAGAATTTTTCCTAGTCTATCTGTGTTTTAACACACTTTATAGGTGTTATAACACATAAACGCCAGCTGACCCAGCCAAGACTCGAACCAGCAACTTTCTTGCTGTGAGGCGAACATGCTACCCACTGTGCCACCGTTGAGCCCATTTTGAAACAATAATTTAAAAAAAAAAATTTTTTTTGCCATAATGACAGTATGGCACTGTGATGGCGCAGTAGGTAGTGCTGTCACCTCACAGCAAGAAGGTCACTGGTTTGAGTCTCGGCTGGGTCAGTTGGCCTTACTGTTTGGAGTTTGCTTTTTCTCGCCATGTTTGCATGGGTGTTCTACGGGTGCTGTGGTTTTCCCCACAAGTCTAAAGACATGCAGTACAAGTGACTTATGCAAGCTAAAATTGTTTGTAGTGTATTTGTGTGAATGAGTGTGTATGGATGTTTCCCAGGGATGGGTCGCAGCTGGAAGGGCATCTGCTATGTGAAATATATGCTGGATAAGTTGGTGGTTCATTCCTCTATATTTTCAAGGAACTAGTATTCAGCTTTATGAGACATTTAAAGACTTAACTACTGGCAAATTATGTTAACTAGGCAAGTTATTGTAATCAGGCAAATCATTGTATAATGATGTTTTTTTCTGTAGATAATCAAAAAATATTGCTCAAGGGGGCTCATAATATTCACATTAAAATAAAAAAGGCCTGTAGTTCTAGTCAAAATAAAACCTTTCTCCAGATGAAAAAATATTATAGCAAATACTATAGAAAAATTCCTTGCACTGTTAAACATCACATGGGAAAAAATCACAGGAGACATTTTTTGACTTCAATAAGTGATATAATTGTAGATTTCGGTATTGTAGGTATTGGGAGTTTTATGCCCTCCATCTATAGGATTTCATGTGGAATTATAATTGCCACAGACACGGAAAAATCAAGACTATTAACAAGCTAAATTTAAACATTTAAAACTGTAAATGCGCAGAAAACAACAAAAAAAGTGCCAGATTTAACACATGAAGTTGATATTGTGCTGAATATTAGCTGTCTGACAAAGTGGCAGAATAGATGTACTTTTTGTAAAGGCTACTCATGTGCAAAATGTCAACTACAGGAATGCAATTTATCATGACATTTTTGTTTGTGTCTAAGAATCACTGCTTATTTTTTGGAACTTCTATAAGGTGATGTCCTCTGAGTATTTGCCTTTAGGTTGGAACACTTGAAATTTCATGCAAGCCTGTTCAAATGTTTAGGTTGCGTCAAACACCACATATCAACATATGGCTTATTCAAAAACAGGGAGGAGTTTAGGCATGGGTCCAAAGGTTACTTTCTGTTTCTGCTCTGTTCAAGTGTATAAAAACGGGAAGCCTGTTTACACTGTCACCATAAGGTTTCTTGCACTGAACTGAATCATGGAGGAGAGCTTCCCTTTTCATTACTCTTTATGGGAATATCTGTTTTCTTGGGTGGGATTGATATTTTTCCTGCTGGATATAGTAATGGACATCTTGACTGTTGTGTCACTTTATCAGCAGGAGAATTATGTGTCTATGGGGCTGATGATCTTTTTTCTACTGGGCTCCTCAGTGCTATTACAGATATTCAGTTGGGTCTGGTACTCTGACTCTCTGCATGAGCTTGAAACTAAGGTGGAGAAATTTGCAAAGAAAAAAAAATTGATCAAACCATTACACTTTCTACAGCTTGGTGTTTACCTCAGGTATGTGACAGATCTGCATTTCAGTTACAACGGTTTTGAAAAAAAGAAGCACACTATATCTTAATTGTAAAAATATATATTCCTGAACAAGAATTCCTGAAATGAATTTCAAAATACTTAAGATCATCTTCAATGGGGTATATGCACAGTAGTGTTTTTCAGCCAACGATAAGCTTATGATGAAAGGTTTATGTGACTATTTTCAAGTTCATAAGGTTCCTTTCACAGCACCAATGTTCTATTGTAATTTAAATGCAATCAATTAAATAGACAATTATTTAGTTGTTCAAGCGTAAAACGCAATGAAAGACATCAGAAGCAGCTGGCTAGCTCCAAAACAATGAAAAAACTGGGGTAAAATAAATATCCATATTTTTAAGACATGGCACAGAAAATGAAATATAATGTGGTGCTTCTTGTCCGGACTGATACTCACTCTAAATCATATCTCAGTCACAAAGTGAAGATCACTGATTTTTAAAGAAATCAGATCTTAAATGTGGTGAATTTGTAATGGCGTGACAGTTCACCAGAAGAGATTGAGCTGAAAATTAAAAGTCTGTGTGCATATAGCCCATTGAATAAGAATAATATGTGTACATCTGAATCTAAAAATAATTTAGAGTCGACTTAAATAATGTCATGTAAATTCTATATTAAAACTCGTAGGTCATGTATTTAAATCTGTTTATTTATTATTTCTCGGGATAGACTTAAAAAGTCTTAAACCTCTTAAGCAAATATTTAGGTATTTAAAAGTGTTAAATCTACAAAAATATTGTGTTGTAGGTCTTAAATCTTTTTTTAAACAGGTCTTATATTTCCATTGTTCATGTATAGCTGCCTAATCTAACCATTAACACAATCATCAACAATCCATCTGAATAAAACTTTTAACTTTTTATTTACAAATAGCATTTAGTTTCTTTTATTATAGTAATATTCGTTTAAATGTTATATATTTATTTATTGCTGAGGATACTGACCTGACCTATATGTATGTTTATTATTAAATTATTATTAAATTTATTAAATTATAATAATTTTTTGAATGGTCAAGTGAAGATCTTTTCCAACTGGAATACAAAAAAAAAAAAAAAAAACCTTTAGCATTTAGCCTTGTATTTAAATTTAATTCATAATGGTCTTAAAAATGTGTAAAAAAAAAAAAAAAAAAAGTCTTAAATTTAGTGAGATCTACAGAAACCATGTTTTTGTACATTAAAAATATGTTTATGTTACATATAATATAGAATAACAATGCAGATAAAATTATTCAAGTATTTTACACACCCATAATTTCAAAAATACCCTAATAATAGTAACAGTTTGATATTATTAGTTTAAAAAAAAGTCCAGAAAGTAAACTTGTTTTAATGGGTTTAAATGGCATCATTGTTGGCTGTTGTAAAGTGCTCACTACCTTGTTTCACAGGTATACTGGGCTGATGGAGATCTCGACGACGCATTTTATTCGTCAGACTAATACTTTCACCGAGGGTGTAACTGTGTACTTGAGCCATGATCTTCAGATGCTTCGTCTATTTGAGGCGTTTTCTGAAAGTGCTCCGCAGCTAATACTCATGATGACTTTAACTCTACAAAGAGGAGAGTTTGAGATTTTTACAGGTCTGTTTCAAATCCAGATCTTTTTTTCATTAATGTAATATTATATACCACAAATATTTTAATGTCTTTGACAATTCAAACATGAGCTAAAAACACAGAGACAATTGGCTCCACAACCCAGCAGGTGGGAATGCGAGAAAAACTAGCTCTTCTCCTTTCCTTCATTTACATTTTAAGCATCCATGCAACCCCAGTTCACACACCCCCTCTACTGTACTCACACAGAATAGTCATTTTAAAGTGTGAATGTTCTATAATAATCCAAGTGACTTTATCTATCATGTTTGATATCATTTGAAGTGTCTCAGTGTGACTGGTACAATATGGTCCCATTCCCTCAGAAATAGACATAATCAAAACAATAGATATATAACTTCCGGTATCTTTTGAACCACTGTGAAGGGTGTGCCTTTCCTACATTTACATTTAGTCATTTAGTAGACACTTTTATCCAAAGCGACTTACAAATGAGGACAAGGAAGCAATTTACACAAGTACAAGAGCAACAATGAATAAGTGCTGTAGGCAAGTTTCAGGTGTGTAAAGTCTAAGAAGGAAAGCATTAGTAATGTATTATTATTTTTTTTTTGTAGTTAGTTGAGGAGTCAGAGAGGTAGTTGCATATTAGTAAGGAAAGTGGAGAATAAATAGTTGAGTTTTTAGTCGCTTTTTAAAGACAGCGAGTGACTCTGCCATTCTGATGCAGTTAGGGAGTTCATTCCACCAACTGGGCAGATTGAGCGGAGCGCTAGGGAAAGCGTTTTTCTTCCTGCTGGTAGAGAGTTGCAATAGTCCAGTCTGGCAAGAACAAGAGCTTGAACAAGGAGTTGAGCTGCATGTTCAGATAGGAAGGGTCGGATCTTTCTGATGTTGTAGAGTGCGAATCTGCACGATCGAGCAGTTTTAGAGGTGTGGTCAGAGAAGTTTAGTTGGTCATCAATCGTTACTATAGGCAGAAACTCTTCCACTAAATGCAAATGCCTTTTGTTCTTTGACACACCCCTTTCCTCAAGGGGTTTCTTGAATTTACTACTTAAGGGGAAGTTTCTAAATGTTCGGCACAATTCTATAACTAGATCAGCCCATAGTGTGGCGCTCTAATGCTCCATGCTATGTATATTTTGAAGTCAGGTATGCATTTTTTAATCTTTCATTTATCTTTGATCAGATATCAGATTTTTCATTATACCTTTTACAAGATGCTGTTTTATACACATTTCTAACAGGGGGTGGTTTTGTTGTACTGTGCCTTTAAGCCGAGTTCTGCCCGCCTACTGTTTCTACGTGCCTTCCCGTGTGCTTTAATCTCCTCCCTCGCCTGCGTCAGACAACAGACAGACTTAAAAGAAGAAGGTCTCACGTAGCGTTTGTGAGAAATACTACAGTAAGAACTAATCTTTACTAATCAGAATTTGTTGTGAAGTTGCATTGAGTCACACACAATATCGTTACAAAGTTCATGCACACACACACAGAGAGATACACACGCACACCATACCTGACACACACACACACACACACACACAGGCAGACAGACAGACAGAGCGCGCTTAGCACTGTTTTTGTACTCAAATGTGACAGGAAACAGGCTAACCTCCACTGCTGTGTGGATATCTGTTATGCTAATGTACAAAATAAACTTCCACAAACCAGGATTGAAGCGTCTTCTTTTATAATTGTTCTGACACGCGGCTGTGCTGATGACGTAAATCGCTGTAATTAATTACACACGTGCACTGTTTTAAAACAATTTAAACATGTGAAACTTACTCTTAGTCACATTTGATGATGATTGCTGATCCTAGCGAACAGAACAGGGGTCCGTTCTTCGTACCTCGCTTAAATGATCTAAGATTATTTGGCAGATCCTGGATCTTTTAATCTCGATAACTGATCTCTCGCTAATTTGGTTCTTCAAACAAGTTCGCGAATCACATTAGAATGTCTGGATAAACTGATCTGAGATCGCTGTGTGTGTTGTGAAGGACAGATCTATCGATCCTCGAAATCATGATCAGCAATGCAGCGATTGGCTGATGGCACAGCAGCGTAATGACATCATCTGATTAATATTCAATTATCCATGTGAGCAAAATTACATCAAATTAGCAGTAAACGGTTTGTTAAATATGACACGCGATAACCTTCCACATTTTTTGTGAGCTGCAGGCTTTACACTTTCATGTGTCAAGAGTATTCATCATGTATTTCAATGCAAATCAGTGTATTTAGTTTCACATTTAGAAAATATTTCCTTTATTATAGTAGCCGTTTTTTTAATCGGTGTAAAGAATGACTGGATGTTTACAAAAGCATTTTAATATTGGTAAAGTCGTCTGGAACTTTTGTGAAGCATCAAAACACTGGCATATTAACTATCAAAACATGTTAATGACTGCATAAATGTATTATTGCTTTAAAAAAAAGTCACATATTGTGCATTTCTATTATACACAATTTGTACTAAAGCGATCTAAAAAGTTCATATAAATAAGTTTTCTCTTTGCACCACCAGGTGAGTCTTTGTACTTTCATTTCGAGGGTGCAGATTGCATAAGTTTTATTAATATGTATAACTTTATTTATTTTATTAATAACTATAACTTTATATATATAGTTAAAAAATATGTACCATTTTCCCAAGTATATAACTACTACTGTAAGAAAATATCAGAATTCGGAACATACTTTCTGTATTATCTTTGCTTGAACTGAGCCGATCTAATCCTGTTTATTTGAATTGAACCTGTTCCCGATCAGGTTTGACCTAGCAGAACTGTTGCTATGACAACAACTCTCGGATCAGCTTTGAAGAACGAAACGATCCTGAATCGTGTCAAATCGTCAATATCCAAATCCAGCTAACTGAGTAATCCACGTACGAAGAACTGACCCCAGAGCTTTTATTCCCGGTTGCTTTGCGTATGTCTGCCTGGTCTTGTTGACATATACACGTGAGTACCGGAACATGTTAATGAACGCAGCTGTCAATCAATTCGGTGGGCGGGGGGAACGCACTCCTACGTAAAGTTGCGGTCGGTCTGAAAACCTCTCTAATTGGTCCACCGTTTTTATTTTGTTAAATTGAAAAAAAAAAGGACTGGGTGTGTTTATATCACCCCAATATGATGGTCTATATACTATATATACACATATGTTTGTCCCAACCATACTTTCATGCCTTCTTCATTTCAGGGGGCTTTTTCAGTTTATTTATAACAATTTGTTTTTGTAAAATGTTATTATTGTTAGCAGTATTATTTATTATAAAAAACAAGCTTAGATTTGTCCACCTGTCAGGTTTTATTTAGACCATATGGGGCATAGCATGTATATTAGGAAATAACTTTTTTGAACCCACTACGTTATTAATGTTCATTTATTCGTTTGCTGGAAATTAGAACAGAATTCAGAAATAGTTTTGAAACAAATCTTTGCGCTTAACAATCAAATTAATTATTTATAGGCTAATGGATGTCTGTACGTACAAGAAGTTTCCCTATCCACGAGAGTGAAAGCGAAAGTAAACAATGAGGAGGCTCATCTCTCATTCTCGTTGTTTTCTCTTAGATGTTTTCTCTCTAGTGAAGTGTTCAGTTTTTTCCACTCAAAAAGTACGACATGTAAATAACAAATGCGCTATGTTACGACGCAACTGACTCTTAAAGGGAATGGGAGATGGGGCTCTGATTGGTTTATTTTCAAAACACACCTATAACTCATTAAGAAAGTAATTTCAACACTTTTAGACCATGCGCCACGGCGCAAAGCGGATTTTTCCATCCCTATATTAGCAAAAGTGAATTCTGACAAACCCTTAATGCGTTTGTGCCCTTCGCTTTGCACTTTGCGTATGGATCGTCAAAATAGAGCCCTTAATGTTATTATCTCTAGTAGATTACATTAAATCCATAACACCACAAGCCACTGTAGAGGTTAGTAATGGACTAAAACATAGTAGACGGAGCAGCGTGGCACGCTATACGATGTTCTTAGAGCTCAAACTAACACATTGGCATTAATTCAAGTATACTTAGACTGTTAAAGGCCAATAATGGGTTTTCTATTTAGAACAACAAAGTAATGTTGAGACCAATCAAATGTGGGTAGGCCTTCATCTCTAAACTTATAATACTACTTACATCATATGGTGATTACTCAAAGTTACTAATAAATTAAATTGGTTCTATAGTAATGATCAGAGGTGGGTAGAGTATCCAAAATCTGTACTCAAGTAAGAGTACAAGTACTTGCCGAAAATTTTACTCAAGTATAAATAAAAGTAACAATCGTAAAAGTAAGAGTAAGAGTAAAAAATTACCTTATGAAAAAATTACTTAAGTAATTAGTTACTTAGTTACTTTTAATTATATATATACATATATATATATATATATATATATATATATATATATATATATATATATATATATATATATATATATATATATATATATAGGTTGATGCGGTGGCGCAGTAGGTAGTGCTGTCGCCTCACAGCAAGAAGGTTGCTGGTTTGAGCCTCAACTGGGTCAGTTGGCGTGTCCGTGAGTGTGTGTGTGAATGTGTGTTTGGATGTTTCCCAGAGATGGGTTACGGCTGGAAGGGCATCTTCTGGATAAAAACTTGCAGGATAAGTTTGCGGTTCATTCTGCTGTGGCGACCCCGGAATAATAAAGGGACTAGGCTGACAAGAAAATGAATTAATGAATGAATGAATGATTATATACATATACATATATATATATATATATATATATATATATATATATATATATATATATATATAAACATATAAACACCATTTTATGATTTTATGTTAAAAATAACGTTTAAATGTTATATGTTTAATGATTAACAGCCTGACTGAGTAATATTCATTCATTTTCTTTTATCGGCTTAGTCCCTTGTTAATCCGGGGTCGCCACAGCGGAATGAATCGCCAACTTATCCAGCACATTTTTACGCAGAGGATGCCCTTCCAGTCGCAACCCATGTCTGGGAATATGAATGACTAAAATTTACTGGGATAATCTGTTATTCCATTAAACAGCTACTTGGTTATCTCAAAGCAGACCCGTAGCCAGCCTTTTATAAGGGGTCTTTTTCTCAAAATGTTGAACTTTTTGCAGTTATTCACCTAATTTACAATGTATGAGATTTAAATACTGTATTTTAGTGACATTTTAAGCACTATTTTAGCTGGATTAGCCTGTTAGGTCATCATTATAATGACACATTTAATGTACCAAAATATTTTCTAAAGATTTAGAATAAAGAAAGATAATTAAATACTTATTTTTAAAATACAAATGTATTAGATCAAAAATCATTAGAAAAAATAGGAATCTGTTAAGGTTTTAAATTAAAAACTGTAGCTTTAGCCTACAACCTGGCCAGAACATTTAACTGTCCTCAGTCAGAATTTGACTATTTAAATAATAAAAAAATAAAACATAATAATAATAAAATAGCTTCACATTTTTTTCTAGCCTCTCTTGTAAAAAAGTACATTTGATTTGATTGAAAATTCATGGATAACAAAAATAGCCGAATTAGTTTTCAAATTAATTTTAATATAGCATTTTGCTTGGTCTTAAAGCCTTTTTTAGAGTATTAATTTTACTATTTACGATGACATAGCAGTCAAAATAAGACAAATGAGCACATGTATGGGACAAATTCTGGATCTTTGTCATTGAGGGGTGAGTTTTTCCAACCACCCGAACCCCTCTGGCTATGGGCCTGCATAGTTACCATGAATAAGGTTCAAATTGGAATAATTTTGACACTTACCACCACTTTTTTTCAGCTTGGAGCTGGAATTTATGTATATGCTGTTATGTCAGTTGATGTACAGCATGCATCGCATTGTCAGACTATTCTTGTTGACGGCTTGGAGTGAAAACAGACTGAACTTGAGGCCGGGTGACCTGGTCCGATAAAATCACTACACAGACAGCATGATCGTCCTTCTCGGAACCGCAAATGGCCATGGCGTGGCTGCAATATAACTCGCACGTCTCCCTCGTCAGCCATCATTCAACACACAGGCGCAAAACATATGGATCTTTTTTTATTATCATTTGACAGTAATGGAGGAACGCCGCGAAATGTAACGAAGTAAGAGTACTGATTTTTCTCTAATAATTTACTTGAGTAAAAGTACTCATATTTAAATGTACTCAAAAAGTACACTTTACCCAACAATTTTACTCAAGTGAATGTAACGAAGTAAATGTAACTCGTTACTACCCACCTCTGGTAATGATTATGGTATGATTAAACAGTTTTGCTTTGATTTATTAGATAGCAGATCTATTGTCATGGTCAGGTGAGGGGGAAAAGGAGCGAGGACCTAATTGCAGATAATTAAGGATTTATTATAAAATACAAATAAAACAAAAAAGCAAAAGCAAACTACCCCGAGGGGGAAAACATGAATAAAAGGCAAAAACAAACTTGATCTAGTCCCACCCTCCTTGTTAACCCATTATTAGTTAATTATGTTCATCTGTTTGTGTGTTAATTTAGTCCTCCATATAATCCCCTTATGTCTGTTGTTCTGTGCCAGTTTGTCGTCAATATTTCTGTCTTGTTGTTTCCAGTCCTGCTTTGTCCTGCCAGCCCTGTACAATAAACGGTAGAGCGCATGACACAGAGAGACAACACAAGCCATGTGCTCACATAAAACGAGACTAGAACAGGCAGCCAATGAGAGCTCATTAACTGCATGTCCATGACATCACAAGCACGCGGTACATGTAAACATATATCACGTGCTAAACAACACCAACAGAAGACTGAACGCAAGACACGAGCACAATGAATAAAAGCACTCACCGTGCACTCACACACGCAGCATGCATGTTTCATTCCAGCGTCGACCAAAACCGAAACCAACTGGACTGAGACGCTGGGAATAAAACACCACGCTGCAGACAGACAAAAACACAAACATGAGTACAAGAGCACGCGCGTCCGAGGCAGGCAGAGCCTGCGCGGCCGCATCAAGCGGGAGCGCGCATGCCCTGCGCACACCCACGATGGCGCACGCACACACAGAGACACACCCAATGACAGAAACAGGACAAGACAGGGCCAGTGTCCAGATTCGGCCACCAAAACAAGAATTCACAAGACTAGAGTGGCAGAACCCTGACATCTATGGGGACCACACAAAAAATATTCTAATCTGAAGAAGCAGGGTTCAGCCTTTTTAGAATTATGGTGAGTCACCTCTGTTTAATGACCAAGACTGACATGCTTAAGCTTAAGAGATTGTATACTCGGCCGGTACAAGACCCGGGATGTTATAGGAATCCAAATAAACGAGAATAATATAAAATAATCAATGGAACAGAATATTCAATCATAATCTAAAGTAATATTAAAAGAAACATAATAATCTTATCAATGTTTTATAAGTGATGTCAGATAAAACGAGGATGAATATATTAATAGTCTAAACCACCTCAAACTAAAATTGGAGTCAGATTTGAGTTAAAATTAAAGTAAATCAACATTGTGCACTAGAAAGACCGAACATGCAGAGAACTTCTGTCCACCAGTAGACAATGTCTTTGGACTAACTGGCTGGACCCCACATCCTCAGGTGTTTATCCTCAGATTGAGATTAAAAAAAAATTTAAAGACTGTTGAACACCAGCAGCCATTGACATCTACAGACACCTAAAAATACAATGGATATTCATTCTGTACCTATATGTTCAGCAGAAGAAAGAAAGTCAGATGGGTTTGGATCAGGTAGAGGCTGAGTAAATGATGACAGAAATTAAATCTCTTGTGAATTATCTCTTTAACTGCTTTACTTGTGAATTCAGAAGAATGGCCCACTTGCTTGTGTGATATTGTTAATAACCTGCAATGGTCTTTTCATCTCAGGTTTGAAACTCCTCTCATCAGTGGCCTCAATTGCCAGTACTGTTACCACGTACCACCGCGGCATGCGTGCTTTTCTTGAAGATAAACACAAGATGAGATGGACCTCGACTGCTTTCTACTTCCTGTGGAACTTTCTGCTGATGATTCCCCGTGTGGCCGCTCTGGCGCTCTTCTCCAGTGTATTTCCGTGCTACATCACTGCTCATTTTCTATCTTCGTGGATGGTGCTGGTTTTGGTGGCCTGGAGCCAGAAAACAGATCTAATGAAAAGACATTGGGAATGGCTTTACAGAGCTACTGTTGGACTCATCTGGTACTTCAGCTGGTTTAACGTGTCTGAAGGAAGTATAAAATTAAAGAGTGTCGTTTATTATAGTCTCATGGGTTTGGACACGATTATGCTACTGGGCTTCTGGTGCTGGAAGGTGGTTGAGTATGCAGACTGTTGGAGTATGTTAAATCCTTATATAGTGGTTCCAACACTACTGGGTTTGTATGTGATTGGAATTCTAGTGGAAATAATATACTACAGATGGTTTCATCCTACCTGTGACAAAAACAAAATAGCTGAACCCATTACAGCAATTTCAGACAATGCAGGGTCGCCTGCAATTACAGATGAAGGTCCTTCTCCACCTGTCACTGGAGCTGTCAAGAGAAGCAGGACTTTGGCTGCTAATTTCTTCTAGTTAAACATTTTATTTCCCTTCACACATCTTTCCAACATCACTCATTCTTTTCCCAAATCTATAATAATGTATAACACAGAAAATTCCTTTTTTTTTATAATTTTTTTTTTTTTATTACAAAAAACATTTAGCTAAAAAAGTATTTTAGATCATTTAAACATGATGGTCTCACCTTTGTGTTTTTTAAATACCATGTACTTGTATAAAAAAAGATGAACTATTATGTTGTTTTGCAAAACATTTTGTTATTGTTGTTTAGATATGATATGGTTAGTGTTAGAACAGATTTGGAGAATTATGTGTATTTGCTTCAGCAGTGTAGTTACAGATGTATTCCAGATCTTGAGCCAAGTGTGCCATTGTCAAAACCTTAAACACAATAAACATTTCACATAAAAATTCAGATTATGGACCTCTTGTTGTCCAGCTTTATGATCATGAGTTGTTACTGAAAGTTCACAATTTGAGCTAACACAACTTTGTCAAAAGCATGTTTGTCACATTCAGGGGTAACATTATTCACACTTTTTTTTTCAACACAACTCAAAATATTTTCAAAAGTTGTCATAATAAATGATTCAATGCATAACACCCCAATAAATTGATGCTCATACTTTGAGCTGCCGCTTTGGATTGTAAACTGCAAACCAGCCTTTTAATGCAATTTAATTGTCCTATCATTTTAAAAGTAAAGCGTTAGAACTATTAACAATACTTAACAATAATTGGTTTAGTATCAACTTTTTACAAAATAGTACAAAATTTTTTTTTTTACAAAAATAGTTTAACTAGAATATGGAGGTAACTTTTACCTCACCTCATAATTACACTGCATAAAAGCTTATATTGTGTATTTCTGACTGTTTCTTAGCAATTGCGGAGCTAGAACTTTTTAAATGTCAAAAAAATCAAATTAACAGTAAACGGTTTGTTAAATATGACACGCAATAGTTTGTTGTGAGCTGCAGGCTTTCCACTTTCATGTGTCAAGTGTATTCATCATGTATTTCAATGCAAATCAGTGTATTTAGTTCTACATTTAGAAAAGATTTTCTTAATTATAGTAGCCGTTTTTTTTTCGGTGTAAAAAATAACTGGTTGTTTACAAAAGCATTTTAATATTGGTAAAGGCGTCTGCAACTTTTGTGAAGCATCAAATCACTGGCATATTAACAATGAAAACATGTTTATGACTGCTGTAATGTAATATTGCTTTTAAAAAAGTCACATATTGTGCATTTCTATTACACACAATTTGTACTAAAGCGATCTAAAAAGTTCATATAAATAAGTTTTCTCTTTGCACCACCAGGTGAGTCTTTGTACTTTCATTTCGAGGGTGCAGATTGCATAAGTTTTATTAATATGTATAACTTAATTTATTTCATTAATGACTATAACTTTATATATATATAGTTAAAAAATATGTACCAATTTCCCAAGTGTATATAACTACTACTGTAAGAAAATATCAGAATTCGGAACATACTTTCTGTATTATCTTTGCTTGAACTAAGCCAATCTAATCCTGTTTATATGAATTGAACCTGCTCCCGATCAGGTTTGACCTAGCAGAACTGTTGCCATGACAACAACTCTCGGATCAGCTTTGAAGAACGAAACGATCCTGGATCGTGTCAAATCGTCAATATCCAAACCCAGCTAACTGAGTAATCCACGTACGAAGAACGGATCCCTGGGCTTAACGCAGCTCTTACTGTTTATTTTGAGTACGTCACACTATAATGACGAAAGTGGGCTTGGGTACGGATGCTTAAAACGCAGCGTGAGAGTGGGCCCTTGGAGGAGAGGATGCAATAGTGCATCCGCCTGGTTCAGGGCAACTGTACATAGTGTGAGTACGTCCTGAGTCTCTGAGCTTTTGCATCTGAGTCTTATATGCTGCAACGTACTTTATCCATTTATAACTCTTGGATTTATCTTTGAATAATTGATGTTGTACATTTCTGAATTGGCATTTTATTATTTGATTTGTAATTGGCATGATACACTTACATTTGGAAAATATAGTGTTATGTTTTGATTCATTCTGAATTCTCCTAAAATCTTTTATACCCAGTAGATTAGGTGGAGTCTGCGCTACCATCATTATAGATTGTTAAGGCGCATTTGACTGTATGGAGCACTTTGGCACGGCAGCATAAAGACCTTTTAATCATTAAATCACTAATATTAGCAAGTTGTATGCAAATGACTAAATTAACCTGTTAGCCAGCACTCAATTTTGGGGATTTACATCTACCTAAATTTAAATGCTGTGATGTACAGCAATGATTGCATGTGTGTGTTATTACATGATATGTACGCCATATCTAATAAGCGTTTTCTGTAAAACACGCATTTTGCAAATACATTCTTTTTAAGCTTTTCATTAAAAAACAACTAGCTGCAATGGGTGCTTAGGGAATGTAGCTTTAAACTGATGTAGAGTTTTTCAAGATTACTCTTGTCCTTTTGGGTGTGATCTATTCATAAACATTGACATGTGGAAAAAAACAGTGCCTCAGTGCGACCTCGTCGGGGCGCTGTGGCTACTCTTAGTACGAGTGAGCAAGAGGCAACCAGACTATTATTTGAGTATTAGGCTGCATTTACACTGCAGATCTTGATGGTCAATTCTGATTTTGTGACTGTATCTGTTTTTTTTTTTTGATGACCTGCTTACATCATCTTTTAAAAGTGACTCGTATCCAATTGTCTGCATTTACACAGCAGATGGCAAAGGTGCAATGACCAGGAATAAAAGAGCGGGTGCTGACTAACAGCTGATAATTAAAGAGTGCTCTTCTCTATTCCTGCATGTAGTCTATTCACAGCTTTTGACAAGCTCTTTTACCATAGTTTATGACAGAAAGGTTCTCATTTGTCTATCTTCTTTTGATGTATAGGCTTTTTTAAACCTTCAGGCATCTCAATCTAATGTCCATGGTGTGATTTATGCATGTGATAAATGCACTAGTTTTATATTGGTTAAGTGGCAGACATTGCTCTCTCCCACTCTCGGCATGCTTAAACACCTGTGCTATATCACAATATAAGCTGTCCTTTAGTATGAGATTTAAAGGGCCATGAAACCCCCTCGTTTCAGCAGGGTGTTTTCACACCTCTACTCTGGAAAAAGTCAGAAAAGTGGGCGTGTCCAGCTCTGTTTAGGGGGGAGTGTCGGAGGAACTAAAGTGGGAGGGTGTGGGAGTGTCTATTTGGGCACACGTGAGTTTCAGTCAAAATACTCACACACAGGAGAAAGAGATGGTGTTTAACCTACATGGACATCTGCAGTGGAATTATTTGCCAAATTATTAAATGGTGGACTTTAACTGCAGTTTGGCTCTTTCATTCAGGGAATTCATTCATGCCCCTCGCGACAAACGAGATATTTGATTCGAGGATCTGCTCTAAGCGTGTATTTTTCATGCAATGTTTGATACCGCACGGCGAATGAGAGAAAAAAAAACCTCAGCATTTTCCGGAAACTTAGATGTACACGGCAGGTAGCGTCAGAAAGCCGCGTGTGTTATTCCGGTCACAAAATGCGGTTAAAACCCCTCCACGAGGTTAAAGTTTGGTTGTGGTCCTAACATGTTACGGTGCAATAGTTAACTTAGTTCGATACGAACAAACTGAATAAACAAAGAGCACTAGTCGCTCACTTACCAAATCTGTAGAGACAGGATAATCCACAGCAACTAGAGCCGCGTCTTTATGAAGAGAATACTACAAGCGAATCCGATCTCAGCGTTTGCAGATGAGAACAGCTCTCAGGTAAACAATAATCCTCCTTAGACACGTGAGTTATTGTTGTCGAGCGTCGCGTACACTGTTAATCCACACGTGAGTCTGAGCTCTCACAGAGAGAAAAAGAAAACGAAACTTAACGGCAGCAAACTATAAAAGCAACACTTCACGCTTGTTTTGCCAACACAACGTGGCGTCTATGTCGTGTAAACACAGTAATGAATATTAATGAAGTTGCACAATAGAGCGCGCTGATTGGTTTGAACCAAGCCTTACTCATGCATTAATGCATCACACTGTAAGACGTAATAAGACACACTCTGGCACAGACGCCCAGTCTGCACGCTGGAATACAGGCTATTATGTCATGACCGTGACGCAGCTTCAAAAATTCGTTTCAAACAGGAAGTACGAATTTGCTTGAATTAACGCAAAAACAACCAATTTACACTTTTTAGTGAAATATAGGTGTCTTAATAGTGTTTTTAGCAGTGTGGGACACATATATGACTGTTAACAGCTCAAAAAATGTGTTTTGGTGTTTCGTGACCCTTTAAGGTTTGGGATTCTGCTGAAGTCTGTTCTGAAATGAAAGTGTCAGACGTCATTCAATACGGTTTTTAATGTGGCGCGACTCACATTGACAGGTGAAATCCGATCTATCTGCTTACACTTCAGACACGAGAACACAGATCCGATTCATATCGGATAAATATCCACATATAAACAAGGCCTAAATCTGATTTGAGTAAATCACAATCCATGTGATTTGTTCCTGCTTACACGTACATGGACCATATCCGATCTGTGCCACATGGGAGAAAAAAAAACTGTATTGAATCACTTGAACAGTGCGGTGTAAATGCGGCCTAAGTTAGCCTTGCATCCTCTGATAAACTTCAGAGTGTCAAGAGAATGTCTGTGAGAAGAATGCATCCATGGGACATAGAACATAAGCGGCGTTTGGTCCCTAAAGAATGTATAACTGAAGTGCATGGGATCAGTTGTAAATCAAAACTCTAAATTAAGTCATAAATGACCATGCTGTTAGTTTCGTCACTGGGCTAATAGATGGACTTTTACATTAGCAAGCAGGCCCGGATTGGCTAATTGGGAGGACCGGGAGAATTTCCAGTGGGCCGGTCCGTTTTTTGGCCACGAGGGCCGGTGTCACTAGCTTCAGAATCTGTTGATCTCAGCAGTCACACTTTTTAAATTAATTTATTTATTTACTTGACCACTGTCTTCTTATTCATTATTTTGCCACAGCTCTGCTTTTTTATATATATAACCAGCCTGCAGGTTAATAATGATATAAGTCACCTGTCACTGTACAACCGTTGTGGTCCAGTGGTTAGCACGTTATATTACAACGTCGCCGACCCAGGTTTGGTCTGAGTATGTTATTATTTTCATTTTTATTGTTGAGACATATAACACTATTTGGGTTGTTGAACATTTGAAGTTCTAAAGCAGCTGTTTTCTCAAAAAAAGACGTGATAATGTAATTAGAAACTAAATTGGAAATGACCTTATTTTAATATAGTCAGAGGCTTGAAACTCCAGGGCTGAAAAGGAGTCCCACTCCAGCCCTGTTAGCAAGTATTTTGCTAATATTTAAAATGATAAAGAAAACAGATTTCCAATCACAAAGGCTATTAGCAAAAAAAAAAAAATAATAATAATAATAATAAAAAATAGCAATTTATGCCCTTTACTCTATATATTTTTTAAAATAGTATTAAAATAACATTCATTACAAGTTGATTTCAAAAAAGCACCTAAATAGTTTTGCAATTTGTGATTTTTTTCCCCCAGTTGAATAAAATAAGATTTCCTAAAAATAAGGGAAAAATCTTGTTTTGTCTTATTTTCGTGAACCCAATCTCGTCTCTGGTCTTGTGGAGTAAGCGTCTCGTCACACCCCAATTTCTAGTGTTACAAAAGTAAGAAAGAAATATGAGTGGCAGTTGAGGTAAAATTGCTTGTGATCATGTTCCCTCATGTCTGATGCCAGAGGGGAATGTTATGGTTTAAGTTGACAGTATGGTGACATAATTCAAATAAACAATACTGTAGTTAGTACTGCGGTGTACATGATAAAGTGACGTTTTATGCAAAATCAAACTTTTAAATCTGATTTTATTAATGTAAACTATGTAATTACTACAGTGATTGTCATACAACTAACTGTAAGCTAAATCATTGACAATATTCATTATTCATTGAATTTTACAATGCTTATGCAAAGGCCATTTTACAAAGAGACAGAATAAATGTAAGTTTTATGCTTTTTATGGTTTTGGGGACAATTGCAAACATTGCAGAAATGCCATATACCTGTGGAGTTTTATTTTAAGCTGAGAATAACCACTTGATCCCTTTATAAAATAATATTGAGAGTGATGGATTTTTAAATTAATAAAGATTATAAAATATTTTGTCTTTTTACTGCATGTGAGTTTCGCAATAATGCATTCTGATGACTGATCATTCACAAACTTGGCATGGGAGGAGTTTGTGTGTGTAAAGTTACTTTAAAGGAGTATTACATTGCCATGTTGTAAGGTTTGTGCAACTTTACAGAATCATGGAGAAGAGCTTGCCTTTTCATTACCCTTTACAGGATTACCTGTTTACTTGGATTGGACTGTTTTTCTCTTTGCTTGATATAGCAATGGATATCTGGACAGTTGTGTCACTTTATCGAAGTGAGGCTTATGTGTTTATGGGGCTGATGATCTTCTTTTTACTGGGCTCCTCAGTGTTGTTACAGGTATTCAGTTGGCTCTGGTACTCTGATTCTCTGGATGAGCTTGAAACTGAGGTGGAGAAATTTGCAGAGAGACATGACTTGATCAAACCACTTCACTTTCTGCAGCTTGGGGTCTACCTCAGGTATGTGACAGGTCTGATTTATCGGTTGAATACTTCTGTGATGAAAAAGCGCAGCATATCTTGTAAAAAAACACTACAGAAGCAATATTAGTGTAAACATGTCATATTTGTGATAGAGATAAAGTGAGGAAACAAAAAAGCTGATTTTAGGTTTTAAATAACAACTAAAAACTGCTCAGTGGAGGGAAATATCACCCACTTGGCTGGGCATAACTGGGCAAGACTAGACATGGCTAGATAAGACAAGGCAGGGCAAGAAGCTCCAAACACAAGAGAGAAAAGGCCCCCAAAAACAAGAAGAGTAATAGGATCTGCCAAAAACTGACATGTTCACAACAAAAGATAAAGTCATAAGAGTTCACAGCCTGAGCAAACTAGCAATTGTGGACTGTTAAAGGAGTGTTACAAACATGTACCCAAACCAACTAGACTGAACTCCAAACGGGGAAAACCAAACATCGCACAACAACACAAAGTAAACACACAAAAAACAACAACAACAAATCAAGACAGGTTCAGACTGTAAACAAAACAAAACAAAATCTGTCAAAGAAATGGATAATGTCCTGGCAAAAATTGCCAATACATTTTCTGTTATGAATTAACCTTGTTTGAAAAACGTTCTTGATTAACAGATGGTGTTAAATTATTGATTGGTTGCCTACTTGACCAATAATATTTGGCTCCAGATTTGCACATGCAAGCAGAGATACGCAGTCTCAGGCATGCAGTTCCAGACACATGCACTCAATTGAGCTAGTAACGTTACTGTGAGGTTTAGGGTTAGAGGCGGTTTTAGGTGTATGCTTTAAAAGTATGCACGCAATCTTGTATGATCATGCGAGCTTGCATGTGGACCCGGTCTGCAGTCAGACCCTTTTCTGACAGACTGACAACACATTTAAATTTTTTTTTTATTCTTTTTTTTAATTTGTATTTGATAGACAGTTCAAGTCAAAATGATTAGCCCCCTTTGATTTTTTAATCTTTTTTTTTAATATTTACCAAATGATGTTTAACAGAGCAAGGAAATGTTCTCAATATGCCTGATAATATTTTTTCTTCTGGAGAAAGTCTTGTTTTATTTTGGCTAAAGGCAGGCCAAGCTTTTTAAGGTCAAAATTATTAGCCCTTTTAAGATATATTTTTATATGTTTTTCATTAAACAATAACTTGACTAATTATCTTAACCTGCCTGGTTAACATAATTAACCTAGTTAAGCCTTTAAATGTCACTTTAAATTGTATAATAGTGTCTTGAAAAATATTTAGTAAAATATTATTTACTGCCATCATGGCAAAGATAAAATAAATCAGTTATTAGAAATGAGTTATTAAGACTATTATGTTTAGAAATGTGTTGAGAAAATCTTCTCTTTGTTAAACAGAAATTGGGAAAAATAAATAAATAAACAGGGGGGGCTAATAATTCAGGGGGGCTAATAATCCCGACTACTGTATATGAAGAAAATGTACTGATAATTTTCTGTCATTAATTTATCTATTTTTTAACTCATTGTTTTGCACAATAATGCGATAACATGGATGCAATTGAAATAGGGAGCATCAGGACATCAACATGATGTCATATTGATGTTGTACCCCAACGTAGTGGGAACATTGGATTTTGTTTGGAAATGAAAATTAGGCTGACTTCAATGTCCAATGTCCAACCTAAAATCAACCAAATATCAACATCTAATCATGTTACAGCTTAACGTTGTGTGAACGTTACCACTATGCCATCTATCAGATGTTGGATTTTGGTCACTTTCCAACACAATCTTAAATCAAACAATTATCAACGTAAATTGATGTTGTAATTGAACGCTGGCTAGACATTGAATTGTGCCACCTGATGTCATTATCTCAATCTTACCTAAAATTAACGTCTTATGATGTTAAGTGCCTGCTGGGAGAAGAGAAAGTCAGTGTCATTAGGACAGCTAAAAGAGCAAAGGGGAACCATTATGGCACACAAAAAAGGCCCTTCAGTACATTTATTTATTTATTTATTTTTACAGGGGTAATGCATAATCCTGTCGCACTACTGCACTTGGCTTTGGTTTTATTGTACAAAAAAAAAAAATTAAATGGGTATCTGAAATATTTTATTGCATATTTCTAAAAATAAAGATGATTTTGTGTTCAAAAAATGTTTTATTTAAATTTTTTGTTAATAAATTGGTTTTAAAAAATTTTCTTATTACATGTTTTAATTATTTTATTAAAAACCGTCATACAGTATCTACAATTTGGCAGAGGTTAATATTTTAGAAATTATAAGATGTGTTGAAAAAATGCATTGAGTGTGGTAACTAGTGACATTTAGAGGTTTTTTCTTTCTTGATGGGGAAGTTAATGGTATAAAAGATACTTCACCCAGACTCTGACATAATTTACTACACGTCATTTCAAAGTTGCAAGTCTTGTTTTTCTCTGAAACACAAGTGAAGATGTTTTAATAAAACTTTGGAGACATTTGTCTCTATGCACATAAGACATTTACAATCCAAAATGTCAATAAAGAAACTGAAAACATAATCCAATAAAGACAGACAAACAGAAATGTTGTATTAATCCCCAGAGGGAAATTAAGTTCATTATTGCAGCTCTATTAAAACATTTTTAAAATTCCTGTGATGCTCTGTAGAGCCCCTAGGTAAAATAAATTTCTGACTGAATGTACTCTTGTATTTACCAGGACCTTGTAAAGTGAGTAAAATGTGTGGCCACAAGCTAAGACAACTTCCTTCTTTCAAACACTACAGTCAGAGAATCCAATTCAACCCCCACAACCGAAACAGCCTTTCGAAAATGTTTGTTCATTCTATCGTCATCAGCTGCCTTTAATCTGCCTCCCCAACAAACATTATCAAAAAAATGGTGACCATCGACTCTGATAAAACATAAGCTCAGTCAGTTTAGTCTTACAACTAAAATCCTTAACCTCTTAGCAATTATGTTAAACCATTGTATATTTTAATTTTGTTTTTAAAGCAAACTTGCAATAAATGTGAATGAGAACTAGTGAATAAGAACTTGTGTGAACATGTTGAATTAAATGTTGCTAAAGTAAACTTGAGTGTTTTCCCCACAGATATGCTGGAGTGATTGAAATTTCCACAAAACGTTTTCTTCACCAGAAAGATATTTTCAAAGAGAGTGCGTACCTGAACCTTGACTTTAAGATGCTACGCCTATTTGAGACATTTGCTGAAAGGACTCCACAACTCATACTCATGATGTCTTTAATTCTACAAAGAGGAAAGCTTCAGCTTTTTACAGGTCTGTCTCAAACCCACACAATTGTTTCTTTCACATCACATTTCCTTTAGGTTTCTGAAAATGTGCATTGAGTCACATCCTCTTTTACACACCCTCTGACTTAAAAACACATTCAAATGTGCATGGCAGCAGAAACTATTTGCAGAGCCCCTGCCCAGGCCCATACTCACAGCAGCTGTTAGATGCAGGATAAGTGAGGATCTAGATCTAGAGGGTGGAGATATAGCCTCCAATCCTCCTTGCATTAATACTAATAATGCCAATGTTCATAAAGTAATTTGGGATTTAAAAGAAACAATCATTTTAAAACAAATAATTTTTTTTTGGCTGATGAAACTGTCAAATGCTATAGAAACAGTAGCACAGTCACCCTTGTGTTAAAACTTATAACAGAGTGTCTATTTACAACTAGTGTAAATAGCTCAGCTTGTTGGCAGAAGATTTTTAAATTAATGCTAACCACGATCACTCTGACCAAGGTTAAAGAAGGGATGAATATTTGAAATGTGCATGCTCGGAATCATGGGAGACATTAGCATATGGAGTAAAGAATCAGATTTATGAGAGGTATGCATTCCCCTAAGTTGGAGAAGGGTCTGAGATTGCATCACTGAGTGATGCAATCTCAGCTTGCATCATAAAGGCTGCATCCAGATACTATTGCTCAGTTTTGCAAATGTATAGGTAAATATGTTTCTAACTTTACTGCATTTTTATTATAATTACGTTTAAGTATGTTTCAATAGCTGTAGATGTTACAAGTGCTGGATGCATGGTGACTTTATTTCACTTTTTTGTGCATTCTTTGAACCCAGATTTAATGAGTATGTTTTTTCCAACTATTTGAGAGTCTTCTAGAATGGCGCATGATAGGTTTTGTATGTTAATAATTCAGCGTGATTCATTGCAAAATACTGTTATGCAATGCATTAAAAAAAAAAAAAAAAACTGTTACTACATAACCCTCGTTCCCAGAGGAAGGAACAGAAATGCTACTGTAGATGAAATCAGATGACAAGTAGCCTCCTGCCACCTAAAACACACTTACAACTGCTTACGGCCTTACTCCAGCCAAACCATTATGCCCACTTTATGGGATATGTCACATATTTTGCTCACAGTCTATGTATAGTTAGCCAAAATGGTTTCCAAACAAAGTTTTCGCATTTGCTGGTTCTATCAGCTTTTAATTAAATAATGTGTATTTACGACAGTATTCATGATACTTATAGCAGCCAATTGCATTTATCTTCCACATGCCATGAACAAAAAAATCACACAGTGTTGGTTTAAGTATAGTTTTGAAATACTGTCCATCCCCGGCACCATGTGTAGGCAGTGCCTAATGAGTCATTGAATAATTCACCCAAACCATTTACATGTTATGATTAAATGCATCACTCACTTTTTCAAAAGAACTGCATTCTTGCTTATGTAATCTTGTTTACTAACTATGCTGTTTCATCATTTCAGGTTTAAAATTTCTCACATCAGCTGCTTCAATTGCCAGTTCTCTTGCCATGTACCACAACGGCATTCGGATTTGTTTTGATGTAAAATGCTGGACCGCCACTGCTGTCTATTTGCTGTGGAACTTTCTGCTGATCTTTCCCCGTGTGGCCGCTCTGGCACTCTTCTGCAGTGTATTCCCGTGCCACATCGTTGCTCATTTTCTATCTTTGTGGATGGTGCTGGTGTTTGTGGCCTGGAGACAGAAAACAGATTTCATGGAAAGCAGCGGCTGGCAATGGCTTTTCAAAGCTACAGTTGGACTCATCTGGTATTTCAGCTGGTTTAATATCTCAAAAAGTAATACAAAGTTAAAGCATGCCATTTATTGTAGCTTCTTGCTGTTAGACATGATGATGCTTCTGGGCTTCTGGAGTTGGAAGGTGACCGAGTATGCAGGCTGCTGGACCTCTTTAAACCCTGCTGTAGTTATCCCAACACTACTAGGATTGTATATCATTGGAAATCTAGTGATGATGATGAACTACAAATGGTTTTATACTAGCTACAAACAGAAAACAGATGAACTCAGTAAAAAAATCAAAGAAGGTACATTTAAAAAAGCAATGCCATTAGGTTATAGCATTGAGACAGAAACTGTAGATGAAGTTCCTGGAGTTCTCCTTCGAAGTAAAATCATGGCAGCAGATTTCTGCTTTTAGTTCTTAATTCAATTGTACAAACCCTTCCCTATATCCAGTTTTGTTACTGTAAAATTTATAAACTGTTATAGACAATATACCTATTTTCATAATGGATTACTATCTTAGGAATAAAGCTGCAAAACCTGTCAGAGGGGAAGCATCTTTTTAAAAGGTACACTTTTATACCTTACAGGTGCACATTAGTATATAAAAGGTACAATGTGGTACTTTTAATGTACAATTTTATACATTTAGGGTACTATGAGGTACCCTTTTCTAAAGTCACAGGTTTGTACCTTTATTTCTGTGAGTGTTTGTGAGAATTGTTTACAAGACAAACACTATTTAGATGGCTGTGAAGGAGTGGTATCCTGATCAATGGCAATTTTTATATATTGTCTGCCTGTATCCTTTCTGTGATTTGATAATAATAAAGTTTTGAATCAATGGTTTTGCTGAATGTCTGTGTTTCTCTATAGATTGCATGACTCAATGCTACAGATCATACCTTCTCTTTAAATAGCCTTATGGATGACTTGTGTCTGACTGCATGCTATAACAACCCACTGTACATTATGATGGACAGATAAATTTCACTATACAATGAAATGACCATGAAATATTGGCAAATATCCTTAAATGTAAATAAAACTGTTTAAAATGTTGCATCTGCGCCAGGCTTTTCTTCGGCCTTCAGACATTTTTCAGGCAGAGGCTTACTGCTGATGACAGTACTGTTTAATACCGGCTAAACCAGGCTTTAAATTTGGTGAAATACAGGGAAAAAAAACAGCCTGGCATGATGAAGATAAGAAGGTAGTGTTGGAAAAGGTTAAAAATAGTATCTCTTCAGAGTGATACAGTTTTAACCCATTTAAGTCTACCAGCAACTATAGTTGCCGAAGTTCATATTTGCCATTTTCCTTTAAGTAAAGGAGTTGAAACAACACAATTCTTAATTTTTTAGGACAATTTCTATGTGCGATCCGCTTAAATTAGTAAAAACTTTTACGTTAAATTAACTGATTTGTGTTTGGACAACATGAAGCAATTGTGAGGAGCCCAGCATTTTTTTTAAATATGTCTTGTTGAAATATGCATGGGTGTCCCTGGAAAAGAAGGAAGCATAGTGTGCTCAAAATCTCTATGTACAGTTTAGCGTTAATGGTGCCATCACAAAAACGCAATTTACCATTGTCAAGAGCACTGACACAATCCCATAACAAGGTATCACAGACCTTGGCATTTAGACTTGCTGCTGGTAAAAGTCTGTATGTGTGACCCACGTGGTAATATCGCTTATACTGTCGATCAATGACGATTTTTGATGCAGTGCTGCCTGATGATCAGGAATCACAGTTGTTCAACTTAAGCTTGCACCTATGTTCTTTACGCACTGAAACTCCTCCAGATTCCTTGAATCGTTTAATTATGTTATGCACATATAAAGGTGAAATATCCAAATGTTTTCTAATTCTATCTTTCTTTGAGAAATGTAAGAAACTGCTGATCCTCAGCCCATATTTAAAATGATCTTTTCTGGATGCTTTTTGTACCAAATCATAATTACAATCACCTGAAATCCTGTTTCAAATCACATTATTATTTAACCAATTTACCTGATTACAGTCCTGAATTGCTCCTGTATCAATGTTTTTGGAATGAGTTACAAGAACCAAAAAATTAAAATAAAATAAATAAATAAAAACTAATAATTAAAAAAAAAAAAAAAAACAATAAAAATCAGGAGGAACATATTAAATAAGGTTTGTTTTATTTGTTTGTTGTATATCTGCAATAAAATACAAGGCAGAGTAAATTTAGAAAGCACTACTTATTTATTTGCGTTTTCCATACTGTCCCCTTTTTATCTGACTGAGAGTTGTACAATTTTCTAGGAAAAAAAAAAATTAAACACCTGGGGACAATGAATGCAAAACATGTTCATATAAGAATATTAACAAGGCTACATGCATGAAACCATTGAGAAAAAAAAATTGGGCACAAATGGGTTAACAAAGAGAAGATATTTAGTTTCACAATATTTAAAATATATGTATTTCAAAACACTTACACAAACACACTGTAACGTTCGCAAAGAGTGACAAAGTGAAATAGAGTATCATTTTCTCTATGCATTTTTGGTCTTTTGTAAGTATTTGTGAGAATTTAGACAATGAGTACTTTTGATTTAGAAACATTTGTTGCTAATCCGACATTGGAAGTTTTTGAGTGATGTAAGAAAGACGATTTGTTGCAGATAGGTGAACACTATCGCATTCCTGTTGTGAGGCAATCTCTAAAGCGCCTTATGAAAGACAAGGTTTTAAGCACTTGATTGAACACTAAATTTTTATTTTACCTGATGCGGATGGCGATAAGGCTGGTGCAGAGGCTGAAGAACACAGTCCTGATAATTTAGTGGATGCGGAGGAGACGGGTGAGTATGCCGAGGTGGAGACCGAGGCAAAGACAGGCTTGCCTCCCTTCCATTCTTTTTCCCCGACTTCAGTTGAGTCTGGGGGTGATGCGAGGCTAAAGGTCCGCCTGGCTCGCATGCAGATTGAAGCTCAAGAGCGAGCTGAGACGCGCCATGCCGAGATGAAGTTGCACCTGGATATCCGTAAATTGGAAATCGAGTTAGACTTGATGAAGGTTGGTTCTGGCCGATCTGTGCCGTTAAATCCTGTAAGTCCTGCTGCTAATGATAATTTTTTGAGTGATGTTTCGTCCAGTGCTTTTGATATTAGTAAGCATATTGCTTTAGTGTCTCACTTCAGAGAATCCGAAGAGGATTCCTATTTTGCTGTTTTTGAGCGTGTGGCTGCCGCACTTCATTGGCCTAAAGAAGTTTGGTGTCTTTTGCTACAGTGTAAATTAGTCGGAAAGGCCCAGGAAGTTTGTTTTGCCTTAACTTTGGAGGAGAGTTTGAAATATGATTCAGTTAAGAGCGATGTTCTCCGCGCATATGAGTTGGTGCCTGAAGCGTATCAACAACGTTTTAGAAACCAAAAGAAAAATGCACAGCAAACATTCGTAGAATTTGCCCGTGACAAGGGAGTTCTTTTTGATAAATGGTTGGCTGCTAACAATGTGAGAGATTTTAATGCGCTGCAAGAATTGATGCTTTAGGAGAATTTTAAAAATTGCCTGCCTGAGAGAATTGTCACATATCTTAATAAACAGAAAGTCATGACTTTGTCACAAGCCGCAACTCTTTCGGATGAGTATGTGTTAACGCACAAGAGCGTGTTTTCTGTACCCCGACCTGACAAGACATTGAGTTCATTCACGGCTCAAAATTCTGCAGGTCCAAAAAGTAGTTCACCAACGAATAAAGAGATTAGAGAGTGTTATTACTGCCACAAAATCGGACATTTAATTTCCGAATGTTTAGTGCTTAATCGAAAAAATCAGCAAGGACAAATGAAACCAGCAGCTTTTGTGAAAACTTTGTCTGGACTTGACTTAAGTGAAAATAAAATTGACGCTGGCTTTAAGGCATTTTTAATGAAGGGACTGATTTCTGTAAACGGAAATACTGAAGAGCTGAAATAAATTAAAATCTTGAGGGACACAGGCGCACTTGACTCGTTTTTAATTTCTGATGCACTTCCTTTATCTGATCAGACTTACTGTGGATCTAACATTCTAGTTCAGGGAATTGAGATGGGTGTTTTAACGGTACCTTTGCATCGAAATCACCTGTAGTGTGATTTGATTGGTTTGATTGGTTTTGTCAAAGTTGGTGTGAGTCCTTCCTTTCCTGTCCAAGGTGTTGCATTTATTCTCTGAAATGACTTGGCCGGGGATAAAGTTTCATCTTTGCCTGAAGTGAGATGCGCCCGAATGTGATCTTTTATCCGAACCTATTTCGCACGAACAAATTAAAAATGCACAACGAGAGGATGAGTCCTTAACAAAATGTTTTTCTGCAGCTGACAAAGAATTTAAAGAAACGAAAAACAACTTGAGTGAATACGTGATTGAGAACGGATTTTTGTTGCGTAAATGGCGTCCTAGCAGAGATGTAGAGAATGAATGGGAGGTTGTTTGTCAGATTTTTCTACCAACAATTTATCGAGAACAAGTGCTAAATCTGGCCCACGATCACCCTTTATCTGATCATTTAGGTGTGACAAAAACTTACAAGCGCATTCTTAAACATTTCTTCTGGCCTGGCTTAAAGAAGGATGTTGTTTCTCACTGTCGCACTTGTCATGTTTGTCAGGTCACTGACAAATCAAAAGATTCCACCAGCACCACTTGTTCCGATCCCTATTGTTGGCGAACCATTTGAGCACGTCATTTTGGATTGTATTGGTCCCCTTCCAAAGACGTAAGCAGGTAATCCGTTTTTATTAACAATTATGTGCTCTGCAACCCGCTTTCCAGAGGCCATTCCGCTTAGGAAAGTCACTGCACCTGTTGTGATCAAAGCAATGATAAATTTTTTTTCTACTTTTGGGTTACCAAAAATCGTACAAACAGATCAAGGTACGAATTTTCTGTCAAAAGTGTTCAGGCAAGTTTTAACTTCATTAGGCATTAAGCACCGAACATGAAGCGTGTATCATCCTGAGAGTCAGGGAGCCATCAAACGTTTTCATTAAACATTAAAATCCATGTTGAGAAAATATTGCATGAGCTCAGAAAAAGACTAGGATGAAGGAATACCATTAATGCTGTTTGCAATTCGTGAATCAACTCAGGAGTCATTAGGTTTTTTTCCGGCAGATTTAACATTCGGCCACGTCTTTCGCTGGCCTCTTAAAGTGCTGAAAGATGGGATGTTAAATGAAAAATCAAAAGGAGTAAATATTTTTATTTTGTTAGCCGTTTTAGAGAACGTTTGCACAATGTATGCTTTCTTGCACGTGAGTTACTGTCCGTAGCTCAGGAGGACATGAAAGGATGGTATGACAGGAAAGCTGTTGTCCGTGACATTAAACCTGGTGATGAAGTTTTAGTACTGCTACCGGTACCTGGTTCAGCATTGTCTGCTTGTTTTTCTGGCCCCTATAAGGTGTCAAAAAAACTGAGTGAAACTGACTTTGTGATAAATACACCTGATCGAAAAAGAAAATTTTGCACCAGTCACATTAACATGCTCAAGTTTTATTACCCTAGGAAAGTGTCTGATAATTTCGAAAAGGAACAACTTGCTGCTGTTTCCTCTGAACCCTTAGTTGCGGCTGTCACGTTTCGTAATGACTTGACGATGTGTGGTAGACTTTTGAATTCGGAGATTCTTGATAATTTGCCAGATTATTTTAATACTTTGTCAGAAACACAGAGACGTGATATGATCAAACTGTTGCAAGAATATCTGATGCTGTTTAGTGATGTGCTGACTCAAACTAACGTGCTACAGCATGATATTCAAGTGACATGCGATCATCCTATTAAGCAACATGCTTATAGAATAAATAATGTAAAACGTTCTGTG